TATAATGTAGGGGTTTTTTTTCCTGACTCCTGGAAGAAGGGTATGATTGTCACAAGTGTGTGCTGTCTTTATTTGAAAATCCATTTATGTGGTCAGACTGTAGGAATAGATCCTGCTTTATTCTAAACTTTCTTTCTTTCTGTAGGTATCTTCATTGAGAATGATTACAATCTCATTAGTATGCCTGTATATTGGATAGTAAAATAAGCAGTTCGATATAACAGCATTTAATATGACATCACTCACAAATACTTAACTTTTGAAATTATCCTGGTGTCAGATATTTTCAATATAAGCAGAGCTGGCTCAGTGCCAGTCATATTTATGGAAACAAATACTGCGGACACTCGCAAGTCAGGCCATGATGGTACCACTTTGAAAAGAAGCCAGGGCTGTCTGAGCTGTAAAGCCAAGCAGATACGAATTGCTAAAATCACAGGTGCTGTTTCAACCTCAGTTTTTTGGCCCTTGCACTTGCTTGGTGTAACTGGGTGATACAGGAGTCCAGAGGGAAATGCGGTGTGCGCTCAAGTAATTAAAATCTGTGATATAATACATACCCAGTGGGAGAGGGAATTAAGCTTGCACTGTCACCTGTAAATCTTGCATTTGCTAATTTAAGCGCATGACTTAGCTGCATTAACTGCTCATAAAACCCCGAAAAAACCACACTGGACACTGAACTGTCTGCCTGATGTTGGCAGCTGGTTGTGTATCCTGAGACCGCAGGCTGTAGTGCTTCTACCTTTCAGGATAGTTTATGATAGCTGGCAACAAAGGAAGGTGATGGTTCAGACTGATATGCCCACTCTGGCATTTAAAGTTTCCTACTCAAATAGCTTTACAATAAATGTGAGTTTAAAAAATGTATATATTCTTTTAAATTAACTCTTGAATGCTTCAGAAGATTCTCTATAGATTACTTTCCTGTCAAAGTGGTATTCTTTTCATCAGAACAATTTAAGACAGGTCTGTACTGCCAGAACTAGTTTCCTGCTGAAGTTTAAACATTTATTTTACCCTCCCTCTGTCGTTTATGTCATTAGCTAGTCTTTAGAAAACAAAAACCCCCCAAATGTCATGTTGCAATAAATAAGAAAAAAGAACATTCCCGTGGTCCCAATCCGCCCCTGTTTGCATTAAAAAACAGATGAATCTGTTTGAAACACACCAAAACAGAGTGTACTTTGGATTAAAAACTTAGGGATGGTAAATTTGCCTCGGAATTAAAAAGTCCTGAGTGACTGGAAATTATGACTTCATGAGGTCTGTTAGACTATCTGAGCTGCCACAGGACATGTGTGGGGTGTATTCTTCCTATGAGTTAGTGACTGTAATTTGCAGTGGTGATGTTGTGAGCCCTCCAAATGTCAGCATCCTGTTTACTTGCTTTTAAGTCCAGCAGTTACTACATTTTCTGTCTCCAGCTTGTGCTATCAGAGGAATGTAGCCTATGATACATAGAAGGGATACCTCCCCAAGATGAGCTGGCAGAATTATTTTGCAGTTCTCAGTTTGTTGAAGACATTATGTACTGGTAGTGGAGAAATTGCTTCTATTTGTCAGTATATGCTGGAGAAATGGAACTATTGTCGCATTAAAAAGAAAAAAACATTATTGCTGAAAGTGAAATATTGCTGAAAGTGGAATATTGCTGATGTGAGTAAAAATTTAATGGTTTATTTATAAAGGTTGTTGTGGGGTAAGTGATAACCTGCATTTTTCATGAGTCTTCCAACAGTATTGGTAGCAACTCCTTTTGGTGTATGAGGTACACTGTTTATTTCTCATGTAGTCTTAGGGATGATGTTGTTATGTATACATCTGTATTTGGCATTCTGATTGACATCTAAGTGTATAGCTTGCTAACAGGTTGTATGAACTGAGAAGAAAAGCCCATGACACGTGTGCTGCTTACGAGGCCCTGCTCTAATGTCCTGCATAATTCCTGAAATGTCTGGTTTTGTAGCTTTGCCTACACCAAGTGACTTCCTCTGATCTTTATTCAGAGTAAAAACTTATTCTTGTGTGATGTGCAAATACATTACAGGCTAAGATTGAAGTTTATCTTAAGGTTTATATAGTATAGAAGTCTCCATATTATAAGTGCTTTGTATACGTTAGGTCAGACTTACAAAGGGAGTTTATTACTGGTTCTGGGAGCGAGACAGCTTCTTGAGAGACAGAAGTAATGCACTTAGTTCTGTTATATCAGAGTAATGATACTGAAAAATGCATTACTTGGGAGTTCTGTCTCCATTTAAAATGTCATATATCACTGTATTAAGGAATGGACTACTTGGAAGACATGGCTTCTGGAGCTCTTTTCTTCGTTTGGCCTTGACTTTGGGCTAAAACACCCCATTATAAATTATCTGACTGTCTTTGTTGTATCCTGATGTTTGCAATACACAGGAGTATACTCATAATTACTTGCTAAAGTTGCTAAGTTCAGTTGCCTAAAGTTGATGATAAAAAGTAAGTCAAGGGTACTGTCTCTTTAAAAAACAGAAGTGGTTTCCTGACATTTCACTTTCTCAGAATCTTTTGCCAATAGATTAAGTAATTGAGTTACTATGTTTGCCTGTTTTTTCAGTTGCATTCAGTGTTTCTTCTCCTTGTCTGCTGCACTTTTGGTTTCCATTTCTCTCCTCTTGGTCATGACCTAAATATATGTACTTGCTCACATGTAAGGGCTGTGACACTGCACGATGGTCACTGCCTCTCAGATCTGCTTAAATTCGCCTGGGAAAAGAGCATTTGTACTGGGCCAGTGCGGGTCCCTACCTTGGCTGTGTTCATAAACTACCACAGTAAACAAAAATTGGGTTTGTACTATTGGTCTGAAAATGCTTACAGCATGAAGTAATGCCACCTGTCAGTGCTTGGAGTCCTGGCCCAGGAACAGCTGTCTGTACAGTGGGGATCACTAAACTGTTATAAAAGAGAGCAGTAGTCTGGTCTGTGCCTCAGCATCTGCCTGGTGCTAATCTTTCTCTCTGTTCTCTCCCACCCTTAACTTCTTTTTTTCTTACTTAAACTAGTAAGATCAAGCTAGATCTCTCTTCTGGAGAAAGCGCTGTCTTCCGCTGGCGATGCCTGAGGCTCGGTGAAGAAATGTTGCATAAATACACAGCAGCCACTGATCCTGGGGGCAAGCAAGGCTTTTTGTCTTAGAGCACAATATATCAGCCTATCAGCTTGTCTTAACATGGAGGAAAACTGGGCCTAGATGTACAATTATGTGTCATCCTCAGAGGTCATGCCAGCTTGTTGAATCATGGCGTGTGAAGAGAGATCAGTGCCCTGTGATGTGACTGTGACTTGTAAGATACGCACCCAGCAACTTCTGTATGCTTAAGATAGCAACAGTAGTGGCAGAGGGTGCGGTGGGGGGTGTATGCCAACGTTTTGCAACACACTGTGCACATATTCTTGTGGTTTGAGCTTTGAGGTTTCAGCCCCTTCCCTTAGGACCTTGAAAATGGGGCATATACCATGAACTAGTTAAAGGAACAGGTCAAATTCATTACCCCGGCGTGCAGTCGGCGTGGATTTGGGTTTATCGTGTTTTTGATTGCTGCCCAGTAATGGTGCTGGCATGAAGGTGTCACAATTGTGGCTGGTGCAAGCCCAGGAGAACCCTGTGTTAGCTGTGGAGCAGCCCCTGTGTCAGAAACACAATGGTGATTTGAGTTTGTGGTTTCTGCAATGAAACCTGAATTTAGCACAAACGCATATTAACTTATTTAGTGTTCTGCTGCTGCATGAGGTTCTGTCTAGAGTTACCTGGCGCTGGTGAGGATAGCCGAGGCTTGCCTTGATTCTCAAAAATTGCAGCTGGACTTCAGGTTTGGTTTTTTTCTCCCTGGTTGTATAAACATTACAACAACATAGGCATGTATTTTGCAATACCTCCCCATTGGAGTTGCCATCACAAGGTGTTCCCCTACTGAGGTTAAATGTGGTCTGACACAGTGAGCTGAGCCAACTCTGCAGAGCTGTTAACACTTGACTTTTTTTGCCTTGCTTCTGACTGCAGTGGACTCTGGCTGCACTGAAGTGAAAGCAGAACCTTTAGCATGGTTTGGTCACTGTGCAGCATCCATGGGTATTGCTGTGCAGCCACTGAGGGGCTGAGGGGCAGGACAGTACTCTGATGGCATCACAGCTGGGAGAACTGTAGGGGGATTGGGATGAGATGGCTCCTAAATGCAGTAACTGTCATTGTAACCTGTACTGGAGTGGATATAGATCATTTAGTCCACAAAGCACATGGAAACCTATAGGCAATCCCCTACGTCTGGAACTACATCTTTGGGTGGGATGGGAGTGAATCTGGGCAAGGGGATGGTTTTGAAACCACAAACTGGCGACAGTCATGTGATTCCATAGGCTTTGTTTTCACTCTGCAAAGAATTGTTCCTTCAGGAATATAAACCAGGTGCTATTTCCAAACTGTTCGTGTTTTTCCTACAGAAGTTAAAAAAAATGTTGAAAGCGTTAAATGAAAAGATATATTTGAATTGTGTATAATCTGTGTGATGTAGCTACAGCATGAATTGTTTTGGAGGAGACAAGAAAATACTATTTAGTCTGAGCCTATGTACTTTACCTGATAAAATTTAAAAAGCTTTGGATATATGATACAGTGCAGTAATCCTATACAGTCTCACATCCAGGATGCGAGAACACCCTTTTCACTAAATTGGCTTTGAAGTTAACAATTATAGTTTAGATTTTTATTCGAGTTAAGCCATAAATTATTCTTGGAGTTGATGTATCTTTTCCACTTCAAAATTTGAAAGAAAGGATGCTACTTCTTTATGTTGGACTGTGATAATTATCATCCTTATCTTGTATGTTTTTTAAATGTACAGCAGAAATCTTAAACTTATGAAAACAAAGACTGTAAGAAAGTATAACTATGGGACAATTGGAAGTATAAAATGAGTGTTTTTAAAGTGATGATCTTTCCAACCCTCCCTAATTTATTTCAGGTTTATGACCCTGACTGTTGTGACAGCATTCTTCTGGAGCTGCGGAAATATCTGCCAAAATACTTCGGTGTCTGGTCACCACCTACTGCACCAAATGGTACTGTTCTAATTTTATCTGTTAATCCATGCGTTCTGGAAATATTTTCTGGAGACTGATCTTTGGCAGTTGTGAGCTCCGTAGGTTTTTTTATTGGTCTTGTTTTGTAACCCACTAATGTTCCCTCTGACAGCTGGTTTCAGTTTGCAGTCCTGGGGCTGGGTTAGGTCTTTGGGGTCTTCCTCCCAGGGAAGATGGGGCACGGCTGTTTGTACAGCAAAGGTTTCCTGAGTAGCTGGGCCTGATGCATGTTGCCTCAGAGCTGCTGGTCTGGTTTGTGTTGTGTTGGAGGAGTGGGCTGGTTTCATGGCCATGTCCAGTCAGGCCATCAGAGCAAGAGGCAGGCACCTTGTGGGTGTGGAAGGAAGGAAAGACGGATAGGCTGGGGCTGAAACGGAAGCATTCAAACTGGAATCTGCTGCTGGATCTCCAGAGGTTGGATCCCATCATCATGCCTTTTCACACAAAGCAGTTATTCCAGCAGGTACCATGCTGGTGAGCTCCACTTGTCATCCTCTGTCATTGGTTTGAATGGAACAAAGATCTGGTGTCTTAAATTTTGTGTTCGTCTAACAGTGAGAGTCAGGAAGAAAAAGGTATTTTGGTAGAGCAATTGGAAGATTGTCTCTTCAAGAGAAAATGGGTATTATTGTTGTATTTAAAACAGAAACTAACTTTTCTTCTGGGGACTTTTCTTATTCACACTGGGGAAATAGAGCTTCTGGAACATACAGAAGCAAAGGGATGCTGTCGGGTCTATTTAAATACATGGGCACCAAAACTAGATGCTGTGCTCCTTTAAAATAACTCCGTCTTCTTTTGCTTATGCTGTCACTTGATAGACTTGTTTTCCAAAGACAGTAGTGAGACAGAGTCCAAAGACATGGTCTAATCTCTGCAAGAAGAAATCCAAGGAACATTGTGGTAATACTGCCACTTTCTTGGCTCAGATTTGCTTTCATGCTTTCCTGTTTGGCACTAACTCAAATAGCTCTACCAGAGCTATATTTTTCCTTCCCTCACAATGCTCTGTGTGTCATGGAGCCCACTTAATATCCATCCCCTTCCAATTGCAAATAGTTTTTTTCTATTTGCAGTGTGATCTTAAGATGTAAAAATAAAAATAAAAATCTAGCCAAGATATAGTAATTCCACACAACCCTCATTTGCTTTGGGAATTCACTAGCACTCTGCACCATGGGACTGAATTTTGGCAGGTCTCCACCAGTCATCCAGACATAGGAATAATGGCTTAAAGGAAGACTAACTTTTGATTTTGTTTGTTTTTCTTCTTGGAAAGACTGTGCACTAACAGGAACCCTCTTCATAGAAAGCTATGGCAGTGGTTCAACCAAAACACTGCACTGCCAACTCTGTTATCTGTAGTATTAATGAGCTTTGTATAGTCTTGATAGAAATCACAGATGCTGGAGATGATGAAGCTTAGCAGAGTGCATGTGTATCTTGTTCTTAATTGCAGATTAAGGATATATTTGTAGGTTTTTTGCAGTCCTGACATTGGAAGCCTGACCTTTCCATTGGCAATCGCTGTTCTACAGGCTCTGGGGACACAGCTCTGTACAACCTCTGAGCCATGAACCCAGTAATTCCCTATTGTTGCTAATAGGGACGTAGGTGACTTCTGAAAAAACAAAACTTAATTTAGGACCACTCTGAACTTGATTTGTGACCCTCTCTCATGTGAGTTTCCATGTGATAAGTAAGCAGGGACTGCAGTGGGTAAGGTGAAGAACACAAGGAATTTGTTTCCTTGAAGAAATATTTAGGAAGAACCGTCAGTCTTCTGTGCTGAAAAGGTAGATAAGTGGATTAAATAGCTATCTAAAAAGAGTGAAATGTATGAAATGTAAATGAAAATGTAGAAAGTATGATGGAAAAGATGAACTCCCAGTATCAATACAGTTCGTAAAAACACTGTCCCGTTCTGCTGAAATCACATACCCAGTGCTACTGCAAAGGAAATGGAGGTAGAGGTGGGTGAGATTCTGTCTCCTTAAGCTCATCTAAAATTGGTTGGATTTGAACTTTATCTTCACTGGTATTGTGGGCTTTTGGAGTTTACTCACAAAGAAGTGGAAAAGTAGTTATAAAGATGTAGGAGCCATCTGCTGCTGAGTTTTCTGGGTTTGGCTACCTACTTGTTGCCCATGCTTTTATTTATATTTTTTTTAAGTGACTTTACTGCTGCTCACTTCATACCATTGTCTAATTTGGTTGCCTAACTTAAGAATAGGGTAGATAAATATAACCCAGTTTCAAATCTTTCTTCATTTGTTGCTGTGGGCAGTTGCTGTGTGCTGCTTATTTCTATGTTTTGAGAGGTGTCTTCTAAGTTATGAAAAGGAATCAGATGCCCGAAGTGATTTTTGTCACTTCTGTCTGCAGTGTGTACTGAATACACTGGCATGTTTTGGTGGTCTTTTGGTTTGTCTCCTTTGGAACTGTAATAAAATATGTAAATAATATGTCAAGGCACATCTTCCTACCACTAGTAAATAGAAGTGGGCAGGGCAAGTCTGCGATGAATGATTTATTTAAATCCTCATAATGTATGGTCAGGACCACTGCTAGCAAAGCAAGATACAGAAATCGTTATGAATTCTTCTCTCTTTGAGTTTTTTTAATTTCATCTGAATTTAGATGGCGAATGCATGACTTCCAGAAGTACATTGGGTTAGCAGGGCACTATGTAATAATTTAGAAAGTCTTAATTGCTTGAAAAATCTGCAGGTTGTTGTTTAACAAAACAAGAAGAGGAAGAGAACACCCTGGTTACTTGGGCTCAGGTTCAGGCTCAGTGATGCTCTTGAGAAGGACACTTAGGGTTTGCCAACAAACCAGTGTAAACACTTGATCTGTTTTTCTGAAGCTGTAATGAGGAAAAAGTAACTCGTTATGATGCTTTATCCGGGGTGGCATTGCTCTGCCCACAAGGCCAGACAGCTTTGTGTGAGCAGAGATGTGTATTGAATGAATGTAAAAGTCCTAATTCTGAGCTAGCAGTTACCTAATGAGAAGGACTTAAATAATTCCAAAAAGTGTGAGAGAGATGAGTAATTTCTGGATAATTCACAGGCTTTGCCAAATAATTAGTGTTTCCCAGGGTTAGCGTTAGCTATGGAGTTATTTTAATGCTTAATTTTTAAAAAATTGTTACATTTTTAGGAGGTCTAGTTTAACAAATCTGAAATGAATAGGGAACTAAGTGGTGACAGATATTTAGGACTTTTAAATATTTGGGAGGTGCTGAATGTTGGCGCTGTATGGTTAAAAAGAGGGAATTAGACCAGTGGAGTAGTGGACAGCAGATACCCATGGGTGCTCATGGAAATAGATGTTTTACACTACTATCTATATGGTTATATTTTAGAGTTGATGAAAACATTTTATCTAAATCATTTGTATCATTTGTGGTAACTTGCAATTTGTATAATTTCGTATTTGTAACAGTTTGAGTCCAGAGTGCTCACAACACGATCCAAAGCATTTTGGGGTTGGTGGTGAAGGACTGCAGCCCTTTTTTTGAGATATTTTTGTGTTTATTGTCTTTCTTCACCTCCCATGGCAAACCTGTGGCTCTATGCTTTCTGAGAGCTAAGTACTGAAAATATTTGAACTTCATTTAGTTTTAGAATGGTGACACAAATCTGTCATTTTCCGTGATTTCTGTAGTATGTGAAAAGGATTGGTGTGAAGGATGACAGATTTTTACAGTTTTTAATAACAGGTAGCTAACAGGTTTTATGGACTCCCCAGGTTTTGGTAGTGGTTCCCCAAAGTCCCACAAAAGCCATGCTGATATCTGACTGAATTAGACCTCTGTATGACAACGTCAAGTAGTAAAAGTGGCACCCGGCTGATGCAGAATACACTGCCTGGTGTGGAGGGTATTTGTCCTGCTTCTTCCTTGAGGATATTCACTGAGCAAATACCAAGCATGTTTGCTGCCTGGGGCTCCTCAAAATTGACTACAAGTTATTTAAGCTTGGATGTATTCTGCAGTTGTTGTTAGTGGGTGGGCTAGTCTAAAATGAAACTCCTTTTGCTGTAGATCCTGCAGCCCAATGCAAATTGAAAGCTGATACAGTGAGTTAGTAGAAAAGTGGATTCTTCTTTTAAAACGGTGTATTGATTTGACAGGTTTTCCTGAGAATGACTTTCCCTTGACAAGATGCCTGGTCCCATTCATACATAAAGCAGGCATCTAAGGCTTAAATTAAACCTGTTTCAGATCGATAAATACACACTTCAGGAAATTGGAACATTTCATGATGGTGTAAATTGGGACATTTCATGATGGTGATCATGATGGTGTCAAAATTGAAGCTCTCATAGGCCTTAAAGTAATAAAAGTCCGTGTAATTTCTTTTTCTTAAGAAAGTGTTTCTTCTTATTAGGGGAAATGAAACGTTGCTTGCTCACTTTGTCTTGACCCCGACTGGTTTTGTTACCTGTCTGTACAGCTTTCAAACAAAACACTTTGTGCCTTTGCTCTTTTTAAATTTGAACTGGTTTTGCTTTCTTTGGCAATTTCATTTTAGATCATGCTGCAGGAATGGGGAACAATGCAATGTTTATGTATTTGGGCTACGTTAAGTCAAAGAAATACATGCATGGAATAGGCTGTACTAGAAAGAAAACCAGACTTTTAAGTTTGTGCCTGGTGACAGGTGGATTTGAAGAAGCAGATATAAAGAATGAGACCTGTGTTCAGGCTGTGTATTGTCTTGGTGCATGCCATGTCCTGGTGTCCTGGCAAGGGCTGGAGATGGGTGCAGGCATCTACCAAGCAGAGTTGAGCCAGGGAGTTACTGAAGTTCATTTCCTTGTGTTCTGACAGTCAGTGCTGGGGATCATGCTGGTAATAGCCTCTTACCTGCCCTGGAGGAAAGCATAAGCCATTTTCATGAGGTTTTAGATACTCCTTTAAATCTTCAGGCAGTCCAAGTACTTTTGGGGTTTTTTGGTCCAGCCACCCTCCCAAAGGGACTGTCGGAAATGGATGAAAGGCATTCATTTAAAGGATTTGAAGAGTTTTCTCCCCAAAAGATGTGCCATGAGAAATGAGTACAGATGGCAGTGGGATAAAAAGAAGCAAAATGAGCTGCACTTCAGCCCCTGAAGGGTAGGACTAAATGTTCACTTGGTTTTTAAAATGACAGTAAACACTGTCTGCATTGCAAAATCATCCCTGCAGTAACCTGCATTTGAATGTGCTTAGTATTGCTCTTTGAGATATGTTACTGAACTAATAAAAGCTACTCACTGATTTTTATCTGGGCAATAATTTGTATTTAAATGCTAGGTTAGCATAACTTAATTGTATACAATTTTCTAAACAATAAAGCATTTAGAATTTCATACCGACAGAATTTGTGGGTGTCAGTGTTTGGAGACAAATTCGACTCTTAAAAAACTTATGTGATGTTAAGTCTTAAATTGTTCAGCTTCCTCCAAAGGAGCTTGGCTAAAGCTGTGCAATTATTTTGCTCTGACCCATTGTTTACAAAAGTTTTGGTTTTTTTGACAGATACGTATCTAAAACTGGAAGATGTGACCCGCAAGTTTAATAAGCCTTGCATAATGGATGTAAAAATAGGTCAGAAAAGTTATGATCCATATGCTTCGGTGGAGAAGATACAGCAGCAGGTCAGCAAGTACCCGCTGATGGAAGAGATTGGCTTTTTGGTGCTCGGCATGAGGGTAAGAACTTGTTTTGTCTTCAGTTTCAGCTTATGCTCAGGCATCTTGTTCCACACCAGGTACAGGGGCTGGTTCTCCTAGCAAAGGACAGTCCTCCTGTGTTTTACATAAATGAAGCATTATCTGAATGTGTTGGGAGTACTGGTATTAACTGTTGTGTGAAATCTGTTCCAAAACACTGCCCTGGTTCGCAACAAGTGTTTAACTTGGCCAGGTCCCTTACAGGAAGCTATTTGCAACCTGGGCACTGTATATGTGTGCAAGAGAGGGGCTGGGTATTTAAAACTGAATATAGTTGCAATTAATACTTCACCACCACAGCAGGTATTTAAAATTATCAAGGGTTTTTTTGTGGTTTTGTTTTTTTTTTTTTGTTTCTTTTAGGCTTATATCAGAGATTTACATACTGAACCAGTCATTCTAATAATTTAATAATGAGCTGTATC